GCGGGGGGGAACTGGGGGTTTGGGACCCTTTCCGGGAAAAAAAAAAAAAAAAAAAAAAAAAAAAAAGAAGAAGACATTTGGGGCACAACTCCACATTGCTGTGGGATTTTGCAAATAGTCCCTGGCCAGGCCTTGGGATGTGTGGTTTGAAGGAGGGGTCAGAGTTCCATGTGGCATCCACATGGGGACTGCACCCAGTTTGTGACCTCAGCCCTGAGAGACAATGAGCCCCTGGCTTGGCTCTGGTTAAGTGCTCTGTCTGGCCTAGAGGGGGGCAAGACTAGGCTCTGAGGGTCCTTGGAGGGTGCAAGGCACTGATGGGTGGGAGCCATGTGGTTTGCCTCTGAGCCTCTTGTGCTGGCCTGGCCCAGGCACCAAATGGAGCTGGCCAAGTACCAACTCGGGGGGGCTGGAAGGCCCCCAGAGAGGTGTGCCCCGAGGGACTTGGCATCTGAGGGAGGAGTCAGTGTGCAGCTCCGAGGGAAGGGGGCGGCATCCACGGTGGTCTAGGATTCACAGGAGCTGAGCGATTGCTGCCTGGGGCCTGGGCCAGCTCTGTGATTCTTGCTGCCAGTCTTGGTCGAGTTCTCCAACCCTTTGGGGCCCCACTTCTGCCTCCCACGATCCTGGCCTGACATGCCCTGAGCTGAGGGTTTCCCATGCCCTGGGCTGTCATCTTCTCTTGCTGGGGACAGAGCCCTGCACATGGAGGCAGAATCCTTTGTGCTCCTCTGGGCAATGGCAGGAATGCTGCTCCTGCTTCAGATGCAGTAACGCGCCCAGTGGGCGCAGGTTGGCTCTGTTCAGCTTGCTGCACTCATTATAAGGACATGATGTGACCAAGAGCTTGCTGTGCCAGGCCTTGTACTACGTGCTTTAACTCATTTAAGCCTCTCACAACAAATTAAGTAGGTGCTATTATTATTCCCATTCTACAGATGGGGAAATGGAGGCTCTAAGCGATTAAGTCACTTGTCCAAAGTCACTAGGCTGTAAGAAGTCTGCTCCTGAGCCCTCCTACTTACCTGCACCCACAATGATTGCTGTGGTTTTTTTCCTCAGGAGAATCCCTTCAAGGAAAGGATTGTGGAGGCTTTTTCTGAGGATGGCGAGGGGAACCTCACCTTCAACGACTTTGTGGACATGTTTTCTGTGCTCTGTGAGTCGGCTCCCCGAGAGCTCAAGGCAAACTATGCCTTCAAGATCTATGGTAATGAGGGTCTGGAGGAGGGATGGCATTTGGGTCCATTGGGCCATCTCGTTACTGCTGGCTCCTGCCCTGGGGACACTGGGGACACTGGGGACACCAAGAACAGTGAAGCTGATCTGTTCTCTGAGGAGTGCCAGTGCAGTGTGGTGGCCAAGGGGGACAAATAGTGCCCGAGAGACATCCGCAGGGGTCTTGAGAACAGAGGAGGGAAGGACCTGCCCCGCCCACCTTGGGTGGGATGGTTGCTGTGAGGAACAGTCACATGCGGTGCCCCTGAAGCAGGGCCTGGGAGGACCAGAGGAGGCTAGTTGGTGGGGAAGGGGGCGTGGCATGCCTGGCAGAGGGAGCAGCCTGTGCAGACGGGGGAGTGAGAAGGTGCAGGGCTTGAGGAGATGGGTAGGCTCAGAAGGTGGTGGGAAGGTGTGAGTCTGGAGAGGTAAGCTGGCCAGGCTGTGCAGGGTTTCAGGTGGGGAAGGGCTGCTCTGTGTTCTAGAATGGTCACTCAGCAGCCTCAAGGAGTGACCTGGAGGAGCCAGACTGAGTCTGGGGGACAAAGAGGAGGCCTCGGCCATGGTGGTGAGGCCAGGCTGGATGGAGGCCACCAGACGGCCCTCACCATGGCCAGAGGTGGGGCTGCCTTGGTCCACCCCAGCCCGGCCCTCGGGCCTGCTGTTCCACTGGCCACCAGAGGGCGCTGGGCACTCATTCTTATCCACAGCCAAAGGGAGGAAATGTCATATCCACAGAGCTCACCCGCTGTGCCGGCCCCACAGAGAGCCTGAACCAGGCCCTTGGGGACTGGTGTCAAGTCCTCAAACAGTCTTCAGGTGGGGACGCCAAGGCCCAGGAAGGGACTGGGACCCATCCTGGACCAGAAGAACCAAGGGCAAACCTCCTGTCCTCAGCACCTTTGATCAGCCAGTGGATCCCATGGCAACAGGGCCTATCAGGCCTGTCTTTTCATTTTGCAGTTTTCATGTTTATTTCAAGGGGACTTTGGTTTACATCTGTGCCTCCACACTGTGTTTACATGTCAGAAGGACAGTACCTGCCTGTCTACCCTCCACAAACTATGCCTGCATGGTTCATGTAAAGACTTCTCAAGCCCTACCCACCATCCCTCCAGGCTCAGACCCCACTGCATCGCTCCTGGGAAGGGCTGTTGTCTGCCCGAGAGAGGGAGGTGCAGGGCACATGGAGCCCTCAGTTTCCTCATGTAAAATGGGCACAGAAATCCCTGTTTTGCCAGTGCTACAGGAATCTGGCTAGCCAACCAGCAAATCTTTCCAGCAGATCTATTGTGTGCCACCCTAAGGGTAGACACGTGCCTGCCCTGGAGGCGTTCACAGGCCAGTGTGGAGATGGACAGTGTGGGGTTCCCATCAAGAGCTCGGGCTCTGGGGTCCAGCACTAACCAGGATGTGACCTCAGGCAGGTTACTCGTTCTTTCTACCTCTGTTTCCTTGTCTATATAGTGGAGATTCTAACCGTGCCTACTGATAGACTTGTTTAGACAATTAAATGAGAAAGAACATGCAATGCTTACATTAGCAGTTATGTTCTTCATTGCTGCCATTAATGTCAGGGTTTTCCCAGTAGGCAAGAGGAGCTCAGTGAAGGGGACCCTAGATCTAGAAAGTCCCCCCCTAACTGGGAGGTGATGTTTGAGTGAAATGTGAAGGATGAACAGGAGTTTGTTGGGAAGGACACCCCTGGGCAGAAGAAACAGCACATGCAAAGATCTGGTAGTTGGGTTGAAAATGGTAAGAAGGGTGTCAGAGTTCACCATGATGAGCCTGTGCGTGGCTCAGGCCTCTAAACCATTGTGCTGGCCTTGGGTGGTCGTAGTGCCCTTGGCTGAGTTCAGTCAAACCATGTTCCCTGCCGTGTGTGCACATGGCCAGCCATGCGGCCTCTCTTTAAGGGCTTTTGCACTTCCCGACCCATCATGTCTGACTTGGGGCCTGCCTGTGGCCCCATGGTACGGTTTAGAAAATGCTGGTCTTAGTCACATGGGTCCCCATCAGCATCTGGCTCCACCTTTGAACGACTCTCTGACCTTGATTAAATCACTTGGCCTTGGGGCTTGCCCGGTGGCGCACTGGAGAGTGCGCCGCTTGGGAGCGTGGTGGTGCTCCCGCCGAGGGTTCGGATCCCATGTGGAGACCGGTTCCCACTCACTGGCTGAGTGAGGCGCGGGCGCAACACCAAGGGTTGCAATCCTGTTGCCAGTCCCCGGTACGGGCGCAACACCGAGGGTTGTGATCCCGTTACCGGTCAGTAAAAAAGACAAAAAGGAAAAAAAAAAATCACTTGGCCTTTCTGGGTCTTGGTTTCCTCAACTCCAGAAGTCACTGTGAGGTGAGGCCAGGAGGGCCATTTAGTCTGAGCCCAAAGTTCCCAGGGGTCCTCAGACTTGCACTTTAAACTCAGGATGTGGTTGTACCTACAGTCATTGTGGGGTTTTGTGGGGGCTGTGAATATTAACTTGTTGAATATGAATGTTAAAGATATGCCTTGTGGGTGAGCCCCCTTGGTCCCTATCAGGTGGGGACAAGAATCCAGTATCCCCAGGGTATGCATGGAGATGCATTGGGGACTCCAAAGGCTGGTGAAGGTATCATTGTGACCAGCTGGGAGGAAGAGATAATGTAGGGCAGGACCCCTTGGAGTCCCTGGGGGACCTAGTCCTGGCTTGAACATCTCTAACACCCCCCGTCCCCCTTTCTGCCCCACAGACTTCAACACTGACAACTTTATCTGCAAGAAAGATCTGGAGCTGACACTGGCCCGGCTCACCAAGTCGGAGCTGGAGGAAGATGAGGTGGTGCTCGTGTGTGACAAGGTCATTGAGGAGGCTGACCTGGATGGCGATGGCAAGCTGGGCTTCGCCGACTTCGAGGACATGATCGCCAAGGCCCCTGACTTCCTCAGGTGCTGCCACCCCAGGGGCTGGGCTTGGGCAGGGCAGGCTGGAATATTGGAGCTGCAGACAGCCAGCCTGGCCTGGTGGGACCCCCATGGGAGTGGAAGCCCCATCACTCTCTGCTCACAGGCAGCAGCGTGCAGGCTGGGAAGCAGGATGTCACATTCTAGGCCCAGCTCCCTTGATGCGTGACTGGCCCTTCCTCCAGCAGGACCAGACTCTCATGGGAAGGATAAAGACTGGAGGGCCCTGGTTATAACTGGGGGTGGAATCCCTGGGGACAGCTGTTCCTCCAAGCCTTCCTTCCCTCAGTGTTGGTAATCGCACCCTCTATGCAGGGTTCCCTAAGGAGTTGTCCAGGGCTGGGCTGCAGCCTGGTTAACATTTCCCTGAGGAGCCTTTACTTGCCCAGCGCAGGGCCTCTCACCCTCTCTTGCCCTTTCTCTCTTTCCAGCACTTTCCACATCCGGATCTGAGGACACTGCCGAGGCTGCAGGGGTCTGGAAGTCCACCATCCAGCCCTGCTGTCTATACAAGTGTGACCTCCAAGCTCCCCAGGAAAGGAGTTGTGACCTCTGGGGTTCACATCCACAAACATTTCCTGTGGCCCTTTCAGCAAAAAAACCTCAGCCGGGGAAGGCGGGTGTGAGGAGTCGGACCCTTCCCAGAGCTCCCTGTGGTCTGGCCCCAGGACCCTTGGTCCCTCTACAGGCCCTCTCCAACCACCCCCATACCCCAGTCCTCTCCCATCCAGAAATGTCCCCCCTTTGAGGGTAAGGCAGAAAACCTAAGAGGAAGTAGCAGGGTCTGACTTGCTAAGGGTTGGGCAGACGCCCCAGTCACCCAGGGCAGAGTGCAAAAGAGAAAAAGAGAGGTCAGGGTTTTAACAAGCTATGCAATCTTTTTCAAAAACCCAAGGCTGGGCTGTGCCCCACCCTCCTGGCTGTTCCCCTCCCCCCCCAATGTGAAGCTGTGTGAGCAGTGGGTCTGAGGGCTCTGTCCCTGTCTCTGCCTCTGGGTCACAGGCACCACCCTGTCTGCTTCCCCAATCATGTGGAACTCACTGGTGTGTGCCATCCACAGATTTGTGAACTCCTGGTAGTAAAACACTTCTGTGTCTGCACTCTCTGTGTCTGCCAGTGTTAGGAAATGTTCAATGGTACCTTTCCTCCTGGTCCTTGAAATCCGCCCATTAGCGCTTCATCTCGGGGCTCAAGCATTGCCCTCCTGCTCTAGGCACTAACTTTGATTTCAGTGCTTGTGCCCTAGGAAGAAAAACACATCTGTGCCCCAAATCTTCCAGTGAGCCCCACGAAGGATGCTGGGTGAGAATTATTTCCATTTCCCTCATAACAGTAATGATTCCAGTTAACATTTATGGCATGTTAACCGTGCGTCAGGCACAGGGCTAGTTGCTTTACTCTCAGTCCTTACAACCCCCCAAGGAGGTCGGGAGGGAGAAGCTGCATAGCCGAGTGGCCACTAAGGGTAGATTTTCCCCACAAATGTAAACTGAGCCAACTCTGCCCAGGGTCCAGGGCGGGAGGAGGGGGGCACCTATGGTGTTATCTAGAGGTGGCCAGTTCTGTTTTCTGCCTCCTATACCAGGGGGCAGCGGGGTGGGGGGGAGTGGCAGCAGGCCAATTACTCACCGTTATGGAGGTGGGGACACGTGGATAAGCGGAGAAGTGGGACAAAACAAAAAACAGGATGGATCCCAAGGGAAGAGGATCCAGGAAGAGCCAGCCTGACCTGAGGGAATGGCTGGAGCAAGAAGCCTGAGTGCCTTGTGTCCAGAGCTGGTGCCTGGGCAAGGCCCTGAGGGCTCCTTGGAGGGCAAGGCCACTGGGTTGGGGCTGGGTCTCATGGGAGACCTACCCTAAAGGTCAGGACTGAGAGCTACCCTAAAGGGCAGGGCTGGCTGGAGGCAGAGGGCAGGTAAGGGTGATCTGGTCATATGGGCATGTCTACCCAGTGCCCACTGGCTGGCTCAGATACTGCCCAGCAATGCATCCCAGGCTGACCCCAGCCTTACTGAGGGGTGTCTGCTCAGGCCCTGACCAGCTATGTGGCCCCAAACAGGTGGCAACTCCTCTCTAGGACTCAGTTTCTACATATGCAACTCTAATGGGTTGGACTAGATGTCCTTTGGGATCTTCCCAGCTTGCACAGTGAGGCTGGGATGAAGGCAGGGGACACAGAAGAGTGCGGGCCAGTCCCTGAGAGGCCGGCCTGCTCTAGGGTCAGAGCCTTCGCCTCTGAGACTGGACCTCTGCTGCAACTTCCCTGGTTTCTTGCTCTGATTCCCATGGGCAGGAGCGGAGGATGTGGCTCCTGGCCTCCCCCCCTTTCCGCTGACAGGACCACAAGGAGGGGAACTGGTTTTATTCTCAAAAGCAATTGCAGCCAGTTAGGAAAATGTCTGTCCTAGCACAGGAACTGCCACATGCTCAGTAAGTGTTCAGTGGTGGGAGGCAGGCTCAGTCAATCAGCCTGGCCTCAGCATGCTCATCTGGGAAATGGGGGTGCTGACCCCTGCCTTTGGCCAGTACCCACTCTTCTCCAGCCTTGATTTCCTCCTCTGCATGGATGGGAAGCACTGGGGAAGCAGGACACAGCCAGGAGCTGTAGACGGCTGGAAGGTCCCCTCCCACCCCCTCTGCAGGCAGGCACCTAGGCTGTGTCTGAGCCCCATTCCATAGCAGGCTGGTTTGGTCTGGGGGTCCGATGGGCATCTTCAGGTGAGCTGAGAGCTTTGCAATAACCCCTGGCATAGCCCAGGTAGCAGGAAGCTCACTAGTGTGGGCTGCTGGATGCCAGGTCCTCCTCAGAATTTGTGCTTCTTGTCCACAAAGAAGAGCCTCTGGAGCTTGTCAGGCTGCAAGGAGGGAGGAGATGCTGGGGCATGGGGTCCCTGGACAGGGGAGGAAAAACCCAGGCTCAGAGGCCCGGTCATCACTGACCTAGGGCTGGGGGTCCAAGGCCAGGGAGTGAGACCAGGTTGGAATGTTGACGGTTGCTCCCAAAGCCCCTCCCTAGTGCCTGGAATTCCACCTTCAGCCCTCCAGTGTGGGATGAAGGACTTACCTTCTTCCGGCCAAGGAGGGCAAGGGGAAGGAGGCCTGTAGAAGGGGGTGGAAAATAAAGACTGAGCTCACCTTACCTCCCTGAGTGCCCCGGCCCCCCTAACCACAGAGTTCTCTCCTCTGAGGCCTCAGGATGCACTGGCATCCTAGCTTCTGAGAAGGGAGGTGGGCCAGTACTTGGGGCCACCAGGGACAGGAAAGGATGCAGGACAGGAAGAGCAGATGTGGCAAGTGGCTCTGAGGTTCTCAGAAGGACTGTCCAGTGCCTGGGGCTGTGGTCCCAGGAGAGTCAGGACCTCGGAGGTGGCTGTGCACGTGGTGGGCAGGCACAGCCCTGCCCTGGGGGAGGCGCTGGCAGTGCTTCCCGTGAAGGCCTTTCAGGTGGGAGCTTGGGTGTCACTGTCCAGGCTGGGAGAGGAGGTATGCATGTGCCTGAGGTCTGGGGCTGTGTCCACGGGGAGGGGACTCCAGTCTCATTGTCTCCAGGTGTAGGTGTCTGCCTACACAGAATGCAGCTGGGCTGAGGGCTCCGGAGGGCTCCTCTGCCTTCCTGGAACCCTGGGCCAGCCCCATCCCTTACCACCTCCCTCCGCCCTCCTGATCCCTGCTTCTCCCTCTTCTCCTTCCTTATCATAAGGCCTCAGAAATAACAGTTCTGTTCACCAAGAGCCTTGTCTGGGCTCTGTCCTGAGCATAAGAGGGTGTCTAGCATTGTTCTCTGTGCAGCTACGTCTGGACACTGCTGGAGGATCAGCCCATTTTACAGATGAGAAAATGGAGGTACTGGGAAGGGTTGCCAGATAAGAATATAGGGTGCCCAGTTAAATTTGAATTTCAGATAAATAAAGAATAATTGCAGTTTTTGAGACATACTAAAAAAAGCATTCATTGTTTATCTGAAATTCAAGTTTAACTGGACATCTTGCATTTTATCTTGCTAAATCTGGCAATCCTAGTTGCCAGGGAAATGGGGGAAACTGTCTTGCCCAAAGCCAGTGGGGCTACGTAGTAGCTAAGCCATGACTAGGGGTAAATATCCCTTCTCCACCTCTCAGAGACTCTGAGACCCCTGCAGTGGCTGAGAGGGAGGGGTAGGGAGCACTGGTGTGCTGCAGAGAAAGCCCTTAGAAGGGCCTGGAAGCCCCCACCTTACACCCATATCTAGCAGCTGCCGCTCCCACCACCACCACCAGGCAAATGGTAGGGCTGGACTCTTCTGGGCAATGGTGGTGACCTGCCCTGCCCATGCCTGCGGGCCACAGGCCTCCTCTCACTACCAAGTGCTCCCTGAGAACTAGCAGCTGCCCCACCCCACCCATGGAGCTCACCTTGTGTGTCTGTCCAGAATCCTTGCTCTTGGCTTCTGGGATTTGCTCAAAGATGTTCCCCCGGCTCTGGGAGCCCCAAGATCCCCAAGATCCTCTCATAGCCACAGTCCAGGGGCCCTGACAGTTTGCTGTAAGTGGGACTGGTCCCAGGATGTGGGGTCCTGGCAGGGCCACCCCAGCAAGCTGGGATCTGCTTGTAGGTACTGCCTCCTCCTTGGTCTGGTGCATCCCTGGTTTCCTGCAGGAGGCCTGCTGTCCCAATGAGTTTGTAGGTATCTGCAGAGCTTCCCTGGGAGCAGGGCTGAGCCCCGTGGCTCAGCTTCACAAACCCCTGCCTCTAAGTAGCAGTCAAAGATCCCAAGGCTTCAGAACTGGGGGGCAGGAGGAGCCCTCGGGAAGTGGGAGACATTGTAGGGCCCTGGTCTGGGCTCACTCCAGAGAGGGCAGACCCTGGGCTATCAGGCCTGTTCTGATATTCATCTCAGAGTTTCTTTGGGGCCTCCCTGCCTGGGGAGCAGGCCTGGCTGCCAGCTGGAACTGGCCCATGCATGCCGGACACCTCTGTGCCCAGACCTAACTGTGCCTGGTTCATTTCCCTCAGGTCTGCGTAGATAAAGTCATTGGGGCCTCCAAGAGACTCATCCAGGAGGGAGGTACACCTCTCGGGGGGTGGGAGTGGGCACCCTGATGTGGACCTGGGGAAAGAGGGACAGAGAACCTCTTAAAGGGGACCCAATCACTAAGATGCCCTCAGGTAAACTGAGCTTTCTCAGATAAGCTGAGGCCCCCTGTTTTGGCCTCAGTTTACCTGGCTGTTACATGCAACGGCTGCATGCATGACATTCACCAGTTCATGCTCTAGGAGTTCCCACCAGCTCATGCTCTAGGACTCTGAGTACAGTCTTTATCTTGATGATCAAGGCTTTGGACCACCAGCTCTGCCTCCCACCCAAGCTCACCTGCTTCTGGTGTGGTCCACTGGTTCCACAGAGCCTCCTGAACCCACCCACTCACTGTTCCATCCCTCTTCAGAATACATGAGTGATGGACTCCCCACCCCCAAGTCCATCACTCATATATTCATTCAACAAATATTTAGTGAGCACCAAACTGTGTGCCAGACAGTCCTAGGAGCCACGAACTTATAGCAAGACCAATTCTTGGGAATTTACTTTCTAGTCTGGGAGATGGGCAACACCCTGCTCTGTCATGGAGTGTAATACGGTTTGACGTACCATATGCTATACTAGTACGTCAGGAGATGGTGTGCTGTCAGATCATGGTCAGTGATATGAAGAACAAAGCAGGATAGTGGGATAGTGAGAAGGACAGGTGGGAAAGAGGATATTTTCTATAGTTCAGGTGGGTTTTCCTGCAGTGACGTGTACGAAGAGAATGGAGTGCGGTGAGAGTGTGAGCCGTGGAGGTACCTGGCAGGAGAGCATTCCAGGCGGAGGGCCCAGCAAGTGCAAAGGCCCCGAGGTGGGAACGAGCTTAGTGTGTTCGAGAAAGACCTAGAAGGCCAGTGAGGCCAAAGAAGAGTGAGGAAAGGGGAGCAGTAGAAGGGCACCCGGTGAAGGTCTCGTGGACCCTGGTGAAGATTATTTACCTTTTATTCTAAACATGAGGAGAAGCCATTGACATGCTGTGATCTGACGTACATTAAGAAAAATATGCCACAGCCACGGGCCTCGAACATGCTCTCCTTT